GCTTTTGTTGCTTCGTTGCATAATTGTACAGGTTAAAAAAAAAAATAAAGGGAAAAAAAATGAGTTTAAATTAATCCTTTGAGAGGAGGCGTTTTGTCAGTGTTTTAAATGTCCCTTTTTATGTCGCGGTTTCAAAGTGAAAAACTGGCGGTGAGTAGAGGGAGAGAGAGAGAGAGGGAATGAGGGAGAGAGACGTTTTGTTTACTCAAAGCCTACTTAAACTAAGCCCCTTCCTTAGTTTAGAAAATATTTTTCTCATTGTTTTCGACGACTGTTACTAAATTACTACACCTTAAATTCACCAATATCTTGAGTTTCTACCATTATTTTTTTTACTTTCACTTACCTATATACACGTATACCTATATGTCCCGAAACTTAAAAATTAGAATCTATAAAACAATTATCTTGCCTACAGTTCTTTATGGATGCGAAACTTGGCCGCTTACATTAAGGGATGAGCAGCGTCTAAAGATTTTTGAAAATAAAGTATTGCGTAGAATATTCGGACCGAAGAAGGATGAGTTAACCGGAGAGTTCAGACAGTTACACAACGCCGAATTGCGTGAGCTGTATCCGGGTAATATAATTGAGGTAATTTCATCGCGGCGAATCAAATGGGCTTGTAAAGTTGTTGGGCTTAGTAACGAGAGAATTCCTAAAAGGTTAATATTTGCTGTGCCGAATGGTAAGCGTCCGAGGGGTAGACCGAAGCGAAGGTGGGAAGATTGCATTAAACCCGATCTGAAGGGACTGGGTTTGGACGGCGAACGGTGGAGGGAGGTGTGTAACAAGCGATTGGTAGTGTCGGCATCGAACCTTCGGGTTCGCTAAGCCTTATTATTATTATTATTACCTATATACACGGGCGGATCTACCGGGGGGAGGGAGGGGCTTTCGGGCTGAAGCCCCCCCCCCAAAATGGTAAAGTATAACCATGTTTTATCGAAAAAAATATTTAAAAATTATCTCTTAAAGTATTATTGTTCGTGTAATTACATATAAAAGGGCTTAAGGAATCACTTAAACACCATTTCATACAGGTAGTTAGTTTCTTTCTTTTTTTCCAAAGTAATTATCGTTTTTTTTATGAGAAAAAAAACTTTCGGGCTGAAGCCCACTCTCCCCCAAAAATAAATCCTGGATCCGCTAGTGCCTATATATGTAATATATAGTAAGAGAAAGTATTGCGATCATGAAAATTTTCGAATCTGAGTTTTCAACGGAAATACACATTTTCAGGTTCCCTTAGTCTAAAAAATAACCAAGTTTCGCAAAATGGTCTGTGTAAGTATGTGGTAAGTCTAGCTCAATAACAAAAAATCGTACGAAATTGATATTACGTATTTAAGGTTTTCATATGCCTTGGTTGTTACAGCAACTTTTTCGTTAAAATCGGCAAACCGGAAGTGGCACTTTATAAAATCGATATAACACATTTTATAAGATTTTCTCGAAAACGGCACCAACTATTTAAATTAAGCTTAATATATCAGTGTATTATTAAGTGTTTTTTTAAATATTCAAATTGATGTCCCTTTACAGGACCTAAATGTCCAATGTTCATATACATCTTTCTCTAAAGTACCTTTAATTTAGTTTATTTCAAAACATTAATTCTCTCTTATAGACAGTAAATATTTTAAAAAATTGCTAAATATAAAGTATGAAAGAGTTTGATAATCGGAAACTGGACAAAAAAAAAGAAAATGTTCACTTATATCGAAAATTAATCTCTGGATATACTATTCAAAAGGTACACAATATCTAATATAGAAATTCGTTTAAGGTAATGGAAAATAACGAAAAACTATATATAATAATTTGTGAAAACTAAAGCAGACCCTACACGGTAATTCATGAATGAACGTCACAAGAAGTTCCAAGATTGCCCGCTATCGCTTTGATCATGAAGACCCTTACACGTTCAATCATTACTGATCATTACTTATGTGAAGTTTCCACTTTTTTTTCTCTCCAATTTATTGCCTACTTGACTATTTAAAGAAAAAATAGTTGAAAATGGTTAATAATAATATAGACTAGGGATATAAACAACTATTTACTTTTATGAAATTATTTACTTAATAACGAGACCTAGGTAAACTAACCTATCTAGTAGTAAGGTTAGTCTCATAGAAAATCGTTTTGACAAAAGTTAGTAAAATATAAGTCTACTACATACAAAAATTAAGGAAAGGTATTGCGAAAATAATAAATTTGTTAAGAAAAATGGAAAAATTAATGACAAATAAACACAACAGTTAAAATTTTTTTTTTCCTAAAGTAAATTGTGAAGTTTCCTCATTTTTTTTTTTAATTTGTTGCCCACTTGACTATTTAAAAGAAATAGTTGAAGATGGTTTAAAATTATAAACAAGGGATATGAAAAATTATTTAACTATTTACATATAATGAAAATCAGAAATTTATAATGGTTGTGAGGCCTAGGTAACCTAACCTATCCAGCAGTATGGTTAGTCCCCCCACTACTTTTACCTCAGTCCCCCCTCCACTTCTCGTGAATGAACCTTTGATTTCCGGATGTTCGGAAATCCGCAGCGCACCACCATCAGTACTTCCTTCATTCACTACCTTACACGACAATTCGGAACGTCATTAGTGCAATTCCGATTGACCGTGTAGGGTCCCCTTAACATTATTTAACAGAAATCACATGTTTCCAAGGAAATTTACTTATTAAATGTAAAATTTTAAATTTTTTCAAGTTTGAAAAAACTATTTAAAATCCACCGAATCTAGCCAGTGACATTGTTTAAAAAACTATTTCATTGTACTAGTGTTAAAGAAGTGAAACAAAAATATTTCATGGATGGGAAAAACATATGCTTATAACCTTAAATACATTTACTGTAGTTTAATAACTCTAAATCCAATATTATATTTAAATAATTAGGTATACATCGTAGATTAATTCCCAAAAAAAATGTTTTTGTGAAATCACAACAATGTACACTTACAATTATTGTGTCGACTCTTGACCTAGCAATGCTATATTTAAAAGCAAGCGAATGAATTTCGGTATCTTTTCCAAGGGTAATAAATAAGAATTTCAATAGGAGTAAAAAGTGATATAGATTTAGTATAAATAGTGTTTATGTTATTGTCATAGTCTCAATGAGATTTTGTAATGATAAATATGACTGAAATTCAAAAATATGTTGTTTAAAGTTTAGCTGTATTAAAAATGAGCTTCAAAAACCTCTGGTAATAACACAATTTTGCCAGAAAAGAATTGCTTTTCAAAGTAGAGCGGTAAGTGAAAGTTGTGTGATACGGGCACCAGATTTTTTTCTAATATTGTTAACATCGCAACGAATTTAATTATGTTTATAAAATCTTGGCTACTGTCTAATTTTCCCACAATTTTACTATGGTTGGAGGATTCATCGTTAAACGTTAATAAATTGGATAAACCCGGCTTTCTCCCTTAATTAATTATTTAATTAAATAGTACCCATTTAATAGAGGCTGAGTGTGCCCTGGGAGAGTCGTCAAAATACAGCATCAAATAGTGGTAACTATTTATTAAATGTCAATGCCTTGACTCACATTTAGGTCTTATTCAGGACTAAAAAGAAAGTCAAACTATTGTAAGAATGTAAAAGTGACATGGAGGATAACTTCTATAAATAAGAATATAGAGAGAATTTAGAAAATAAATTACTATTTTAAACTAATAAAACAAAATATTGATTCAGTAATAACTGACAAAATATTAATGACAGAAGTCTTCACTTATAAAGGCTGTAATAGCTAAAACGATTATACCGAAAAAATAATAACTGATAAAGTAATGAGAAATAAATAATAAGTGTAATAACAAAAATAGTAAGAAAGAGTAATAAAGATATTATATGGAAGTAAATATTGTAGGAATATAATACATTTATTATTTTATACCATTTATTACAAATTTTTAAAAGCTGCTACCTCTTTATTTTATATTATCACCTCTGTTATTAATATTATTCAACATTTTATCAGTTATTACTTGGTCAGTATATTTCTTTAACAGTTTATCGCATTCATTTATTTTGTCAACTATTATATCAGATAAAATGTTTTGTTTTTTTTATCATTAACTTTTATTATTTCCAATTTCCTGTATATTCATATTTATGTCAATAATTCTATATGGAATTTTTATTTTAAAACTGAAGTTTTACATTCTTTGGATCATTCTTGTTTGTCCTGATGAAGACCTATAATGTAAGTTGAAATGCTTTTCATATAATTCATCAAGTAGTTACCAAAATTTAATGCTATTTTTGAGTGATCTCCCTGATCAATTCCTTCTACTGTAAAATATTTTAATTTTATTAAACTTATAGACTTTCTAAAAAGTAAACATAGAAATAATTCATTTTAATATCACTTTGCTTATTAATGTAGAATGTTTTTGATTCAGGAATATAACATATAACAATCGTCTTTTATATACAAACCAAAGTAAAAAATCAAGCTTATTAAATAAAAATTATTTATTTTTTATTATTTCGTTAACATAAAGTTTATTTAGATTATAGATAATATCAATAAAAGGTTGTTTGTTTTATTGAAAGTTTATTGTTTATTTTTCATTGTATATAGTTCAGAGGTAACTCTTGACAGATGATTTTATGCCACTCCACTAGCGGATCCAGAATTTGATTTTTTTAGGGGGAAAGACTTCAGCCTGAAACCTTTTATATATATATATATATAAACGATAATTACTTTGGAAGAAGAAGAAAGATTCTAACTATTTATATGAAATGGTGTTTAAGTGATTCTTGAAATCCAATTAAATTTAATTAAATGAACAATAATTTTTTTAGACAAAATTTTTTAATACTATGTTCGTGAGACATGGTTACATTTTACCATTTTGGGGGGGCTTCAGCCCGCAAGACCTCCTTCCCCCTCCCTCTGCAGATCCGCTTGTAATATAATATTATAATATAATAACCTCTTATAATATACATTTAACTTTGCAGATGGTATCCTGAGAAAACCAACATTCAAGGAAAAAATGGTGGACTTAATGAGGCCAGCCATGATGCGGCCTTTGACTTTGGTCATCTGTTTCTTCTTCTTCACCCACTCTGCTGGCCTCAATGGCGCCAGGCCTTATCTAGTCAAAGTATACACCAGGCTCGGAGTGAGCATTAATCCTTTCCTTGGAACCGTAAGCGAGCCTTTTCTTTTTTTCTCATATATCTAATTTACAAGTAGTTAATAAAATTTATATTGTCACTTATTTGAAAAAAGTTATTATGTTTTTGATGGAGCTAAAATTTTAAGTACGTGTATATGAATTTTGACATTATTTATCGATAAAAATAACACAGTAAGTACATCAAAATGATACAAACCCTTAGTTACAGGATGTTTCACACTCACTGCTCACTCCATTTTTTTTAGAGTCATAAAAAAACTAAGGTGTGTGCTTTAGACCATACATTAGAAGCGAAAACTTCAACAAGACGAGATTAATAACATGAAATGTAAATTATAAATAATAGCTCATTATAAAGAGGATGAAATGCAGAACATTTTCCTCGCTTACAGTATACATTTCTGATTTTTAGTTACTGAGATATTTTAATCCTTATCTTTAATAAAATTCGTTATTATTTGGTTTTCGACACTACGTTTTTCCCTTTTCGCCTCTCTAACACGGCCTAGTGTTAAAAAACAATTTTTAATAATAGCTCATTACAAAGAGGATGAAATGATGAACATTTCTCTTACTAACAATATGCAGATCTGATTTTTAGGTTTTGTGATATTTCAATCCATATGCAAAAACACTTCAATTAGTCGACTCCAGTCGACTTTATCCAAGTATTACACATCTGAGATCTGACAGTTCAATCTAATTCACTTTCCACAAAAAAAAGTACAAATTTTTGTTTTGTTTTTACTGTTATTTTTTATTTTCTTCCTATATTTTAATGTTAATGAGATATTATTTTGTAAATATTTAATTTAATGTGTGGTCACACAGGCATTTTTTCTGAATCTATAACTTGTTCTTAAGTGACAACAGTCCCAGGATAATAAAAAATATTTTCATTTCATACCATTTCAAAACGCACCTAAAAAAAGTTTTCACTTCAAAAATTAAAGGAGACAAAGAAATAACAGTTTTACATACTGATTAAGAAGCCTGATATTATGAGAGTGATCTGTATATTGAGGCTAATAAATCTTTATAGTTTACCTGTGTCAGTTAAAGCAAGTCAAACCATGTGTGTATGATTATTATTTTTGACAAAATTTACATCCATGACTGTCCATCAGGAAAAAGGCAACTTCATCATGGAATTTTACGAGCTTGATACACATAGTAAGCTAAATCAGTTTTAATTTGCAAAAACATACTTAGAATGCCCTCAGACATTACCAATATGAATCTACCTCAGAAATGAAAAAAAAAAAAATTAATAAGGTCTATTTTAGCAATCATCAAATCCTATATATTATATCTAAAATGTGTTTTTTTTTTGTCAGTATGCCATAACTTCGTCAATTCTTCATCAAACCACTCATTTTAAAGATATTCTTCTCCTTCACATGCGAAAAATAGTCCTATTCCTCCAAAATTTCTGGAAAAAAGTAATGAAGAGAAAGAAACTTTATTTGCGTTTAACTCAAAAAGTATGCGTTTCTTTATGAATTGTACCCATGATAATTAAAAAGATTACTAAATTTCCTACAAAACAAAATAATAATCGTAAAAATCGGACAATCATTAACAAAGATACAGTCCATTAGATTTGGTATACTCAATAATGTCTTCCTGTTTAAAGATATTGCATTTAGGAGTAGAATAGTCTACTACACTTTTTTTCCTGGCTGATATATAAACTTTATTATTTCTTAAAGACGGTTGTTCTTTAATTTTATTTTTATTATTTAATTTAATTTAATTTATATTTTTTTTAATAATTTAGAAAATCTCATGATCGGGGCATTATTTTATCTTTATTACTTTTATTATCTTTCCAGTCAGCGTTTAAAAATAGGTTTTAGCAAAATGATTCGTACAAATATTTTTGTCTATTATGTTTAATGGAATATTGTAATCGAGCAAGAAAAAACTATTAATTCCTTCCTTACATAATAAATAGGAACTACTTATTTCCATATTGTTTTGCTATTTCTTCACTAAACAAAATTTTCTGTGAATTATTCGCACGGGCCCAACAAGTCACTATAGATTTCTATTTCAATTCACTATATTATTGATATTTATAATTAGTTAATGAACTCTGCATAATTATTCTAGGTATTAGGAGCCATCAGCCAGATAATAGGAGTTTTCGTATGTATGGTGTCGGTGCGCAGAGTAGGAAAAAGAAAACTGGCACTCATAACTATGTTCCTCTGTTCAACAATAAATCTATGCCTTGGCTTATACTCGTTGTTCCATGAGACTGGCTACTTGTACCTGAGTTGGTTACCATTGGTATTGATGGCGTTGCTCTCATTCACAGCAAACTCAGGGTTTGCTATAATACCATGGGCTCTTCTTGCCGAAGTTTTTCCTCCACGGTAAGTTTAGAAATCATTTTTATTGAATAAATGTTTATGAACTCAATAATTATTGTATGTAGTAATGCATTGTTTTATTAATAAAAACAGTTTGTACATTATTCTCTTTGTCATTCATATATATTGGATTGGCAAATAAGTCCTTTCGGTTTTTCAGGGTGAAATAAAACACAATGTATTATAGACATAAAATTAATTTTAATTTACAATATATTGACCATTATTTAATATGACTTTTTCCCATCTTTCTACTAACTGCATAATGTCATGTTCATGGAATGTCTGGAGTTTATTGTTAAAAAACTGATCCAAGTGGTTTTTGATGTCCTCTTAGTTTTGGAATTTCTTTCCATTCATGGAGTTCTGCAGAGACCGGAATAAGTGGTAGTCACTTGGAGTTAGATCTGGTGAATAGAGAGGGTGAGGCAAAAGGTTCCATCCAAGACTGAATGATTTATTGTGAGTGACCAGTGAGGTGTGGGGCCTAGTGCAGTCTTGGGGAAATGCAATACCCTTCCGATCATTCATAACTCTTCAGGATTTTCTCCAAATTTGATGTTACTATATCCGTTGGAAAGCTGAATTATTGCTTTTTATAGCTGTATGAATGCTAAATTTCTTGTAAAATAGCTGAAGTCATATTTATCTTTAAACTCATATGTATACTTTAAGATCATACATCTACTACAGTGTTGTTCCTTTATTTTAATATTAGGATTAGACAACTTTGTAAATTAATTTATTTTTAATTGTATTCTAATGCCAGACAATTGTCATTACGTTGTTCTTTATAGTTATTCTGAGGGAACTAAATGTCCTGGAATAAAATTCACTTTCTTTCTTTCTCTGCCTGCTAACCCTGTATGTGTTACAATGTTCCTTGGTCTTCATTTCAATGCGACTTCTATCCCTAATAGATCTCTAAAGACTTGGTCTCTCAAATATCAAGATTATTTTCTTCATAATTGGTGGTTGTCCACACTTCTGACTTCTTTATATGTGAAAACCTGGCATACCAGGATCTTATAGAGCTAGATTTTGGCACTGGAGAAAATCTTTAAGCTTGAGCATAAAAAACTTTGCAGTCTTAAAAACATCTATTAGTTGCAATCATTTCCCTACTGATTTTCTAAGAGAGTAACTTATCTTTTGAGATTATCAGTACAAAATTCACTCAAGCAGAAGTGTCATAAGTCTTAAAAGAAAACTTAACCAGCAGATAAATTTGATTTAAGAACGAATCAAACTTTAGCATAAGAGATATGTAGATGAGATTTGCACTGAGGAACATCATTTAAATATTAAATCTTTATTTATATTCTGATTACATTTAAAAAAATCTCTATCCAGCATCTATTTTGATTAATTCCTATTTAATCGAACCCAAATTAAATGTGAATATTTTATTCCTTAGTAATCATACTCAGAATATCAGATATTATTATTTAGAAATACACCTATGCATGAAAATAAACAAATAATTGTCTGTATTATATTTAAAGTTTGGAATCATTAAAGTTAAAAATTCAAAAATAAATGCAATAATAAATAATGATAACTCAATAATGAAAATGGTAGAGACATTTTATTCACTAGAGCAAATAAATATCAAGTTTGATTTTTTACAACTTAAAAAAATTTAATAGTGGATTGATGGCTGACTATAGTGATCTTCTACCTTCTCAAATAAAATCTAACCTAAACTCTTATTATATCTTGGGAAAATATTAAATTTTAAAAGATAAGAAAAAAATTATCTTCATTAATGAAAAATTCTGATGAATTTTAATGAAGTATAAAAATTGAATTAATAATAATTCTTTATTTATTCTGAAACAAGTCCCTATACAAAATAATCTTACTAGAAATAAAAACTGAACTTAGAGCCTTGGAACATAACAAAAAAATTAGTAAATTATTATGGCAAAAATAACATTAAATCTCTGTATCCTCGGGAAGATAGAGATTAGTTCAACTTAAGTTGGAAACAAAACTGGCAGTGAGGTACCACCATTGCCGGTCTTAGTTTGGAGCAACCAGAGCAATTGCCCTGGGGCGCCGGCCGATATTCATGGGCCCTTTGTATTTGTTAGAAATTTTAAAAACTACAAAACGTATTAAAATAATTAATTTTAGTCTATCAATAAAACAACTGTGTTAGAGAAATACTGAATGAAATAAAATTCAAATGTTACATAATAGAAAGCAGCTTAAGAAATAAATTCAATTTCCTGATAAGATGAGATGACGTCATTGCTCAGGGGCACCGAATGTCTAAGGCCGGCACTAAATACCACAATGTAAAACCGCTAGCTTCTAAAATAACTGCCCACATTAATCAAACTTTTAAAAACCTTCTTTATGAAGAGAAGTTATTCACAGTGTTAAAGAAATAACGAAAAGACAAAATAAAATAATAATTAAAAAAGTACCATAAAACAAAATTTAAAAATGCATTATTCTGTAATTAAAAATCGTTTATCTTAAAGAAAATTCTTAGAATTGTGGTTTTTTCAATGTACAATGCATTTATTTAATTAGGTACTAAAAATCCATAAATACCCATTCGCTTTCCACTCGAATTGTAAGACAATTTGGTCACAAAGTCGAAAAAAAGATGGCCTATAAAAATATTGGTACGTTTGGTATGACATCTACCCCTATAAATGTTAAAATACCGAGGCAAACCTCGTTATTTTAAAATGTTGAGGGTGTAGGTCACGCCAAACAGTTCAATATTTTTGTAGGCCACCTTTTTATTTCAATTTTGTGATCATATTATCTTACGATTCAAGTGGAAAGCAAATGGACATTCATGACTTTTTAGTACCTAATTAAATAGAATAAGTTTGCTGATCTCCAGATTTAAAACGCCTTAATTCTGAAAATTTTCATAAATAAAATATTTGCAGGATACAATGAGATGAAGCTATTTACGAAGTTATAGGCGGATATAATAATTTGATAAAAAGGGGTCTGTACCACGGACTATAAACTAAAACCTGAGTAAAAAATCCAGTAAGCTATATCTTGGCTAACAATGGTCCGATTTATTTATTTATGTTTTTTTTAAGGGAATTTAATTACATTTAAAATTATCATGTATATAATAAACTGCAAATTGTAATTACATTTTGAGTAATGTGCAAACTTTTCTTTTCTTCATAACTTTTTTTTTCTGTGAGACTGCTTGTTTTTTGGCATTAACAGAGAAAGTAATCTTCAAAATGATGATTCAATCATTGGTTTTGATAAGTTATTAAAAAAATTTGGTATACCAACAGAAAAAAAAAAACTTTAAGACATAATACATAACTATATATGTATGTCAGAGGTAAACTGTTGTATGTCCAATTTTTTTTATTTTGATTTTTTTATTATATTTTCATTATTCTAGCAATATTTTCCAAAGTTGAAGTATTTTATATAAGCTAAAAGGTAATAAAAAAATCAACACTTTATTTATAATATATATTCTTCTGTAATACTTTTAAGAAAGAACATGTTTTTTACCTCTTACATTCAGATATTTTCAAATAGCACTGAACCTATGAACACAAACATCAGAAGAAAATTAACAGATATATTCATTGCTTTTGATAGACCAATTTCGACAAAAACAATCAGTGCTCTATAAGTAATATATCGAAAACCAATGATGATCTCCACAAATGGTTACTAGCCACAGAAAAACTAGTTTCATATATTAAATAAATGTTTTATGGTATAATTTACTCAACGCTCCTTACTTTGTCACAAATAAAATCATCCATAAAGACCTTAATGTTCCATATGTTTCCAATTTGGCCCAATCCAGATACCTATCCTTCCATAAAAAACTGCAGAACCATCCGAACCATCTCGTTTCAAACCTTGCTTCCTCCTCAATCCCTGATAACCCTCCGAGACGTCTGAAAAGAAGATGGCCTTGGGACCTTCTAATATAGAACTTTAATTTGAGTTCTACCAATGGGTAGTTTCTCTTCATGTTGTACATGTCATGTTACCAATGTCACATTTACTTGTTGTATTTTTCATGTAATACAGTTGTAAATTTCATTAAAATAAATATTTAAAAAAAATTCTAATAATAATTTATATTTACAGAGGACGCGGTGTTGGAGGAGGATTATCAGCAGCTTCATTCTACATTGAATGGTTTATCGTAACAAAAACTTGGCCTTACATACAGTCTGTAATACAGTTGTACGGAATGTTTTTCCTCTATAGTTCACTTGGATTCATCGGAACCTTTTACTTGTACATGAACTTACCTGAAACAGAAGGTAAAAGTTTAGAAGAAATTGAAGGAATGTTCAAGAAAAACCGATTAAGAAGATAAGGAAAAAAAATAGTAGAAAATACAATTATATGTTATGTTAACATAATATATGTTATATAGGTGTTAACATAATCTTTGCCATATCCAAAATTCTCCCTTGTAAATATTGCCTATGATAAATATTTAGATAAACAGGGAAAATTTTGTAGATACATAAAACATGTTTTTATATGTAAATTTAAAAATAGATAAATATAGTTAGTTATTTTTATTTTTAAAATTTAGTCATTGAGACCAAATTTATCTTATGATGATAATCTACTTCTAGTTAAAGAAATGAATTATAAATATAAAGTACAAACTATCTCAAACAACAATTAAAACACTGCCTTTGAGATTATTATTAACTGGAATAGCCATAATTTAGTCTATTAATAAATGGAAATGATTCAAAGGATGGTTCCTAAAAATAAGTAGAGTTAATAAAATTATTAATAATTCAATTATAGTTATAAATTATATTAATTGTGACACAAAATATGTAGAGGAACAGTTATAAAAAAGGTTGTTATATTAATGTACTGGTAACAACGTAACATACTTGATGCTGAAATAGAAAAAAAATGTTTCCAAATAATTATATTTCAAAACTTTTAAAATATTTAGTTTTATGGTTAAACTTGTCATAATAACTGTAATACTAACTACGTGCCCCTAATTACTTCTGAGATATTTTATAAATAACTAATCTTTTATTATAAAAAACCTTTTTTTAATGATTTATCCGATGTATGACAAAAAATCTGTTTTAAATTATTTATCTAATTTTATTATAAAGTATAACAATTCTAAACTTCATTATAGCATAATACTATAATAATAATAATATTATTATTATTATTTCAAACAGCACCATTTATATTCTAAACAAATCAGTTATAAATATACGATTTAAACTGACTGTTTCACTTATATTTAAGTGTGATATTAGTTGTAAACATTTACAATGAGATTTGTATTATTTTAACCCATAATTCCGAAGATTTCTAATAAAATACCTATTTGCCTAGAAAATTCTGCAATGTATTTTTCTATAGTAAAATATTATAATTGTCAAACTCACTCTGTTCAAAAATATTAAATTGAAAAGATAGTGAAGATAAAGACAGAAAAATAACTTTCCATATATCTCATGCTTTAAAAAACAAATTAATATCTAGAAAAATGTATATCCAAATTACCTAGTTGTTGTTTTTTTTAATTTTACTGTGTGGTTTCCGAAAAATTTTCCTATACTCTTTTACCTAGGCTTCTCTAATACTGTGTCCTGCCTACCTTCCTTTGTCCATCTTATTTCTGATTTAACTTTTCATAATATAGATTATATTGTCATTTAATTGCGGAAAGTCACTAAGTACACTTATGATGAAACTAAACTTTTGAGTATGTATTTCTTAATTTTTATTTATTAAAAGGCTCATTGTCTATCAAAATCACACTAATCCTATCAACTGTCAAAAATAATTGCATTAAGTTTTGTACACAATGTTTTGATTTCACAGAGAAAAAATTTCATCTAATTACGAAGTGATTTAATTTTCTAAAATATTACTCGATGACTTTTTGTAATAAGCACATTATAAATACTTTGAATGATTAAAAAAACTTTATTAATTACATTAGTTTTTTTAATGAGAAAAATATCAGCTTAAATTGTGGCTCCTAGTTTTAGAACTACTGATCTTTAGTGAGAAATGTTTTAATTATAGTTGTTTTACCGATTGTGGCTGTAGAGCAATGTAGCATATCTAAGGTTGTATATAAATGTTAATTAGTTATTAGTTGTTTATCATGTTAATATACATTTACATGATATTACTCATGGATTATACTTATGTTTTATGTTATAAAACTATTTTTGTACAAAGGTTAAAAAAATAAATTTCAACTGAAGTGTATTCATTGAAAATTAAAATACCAAATAAATGTGAAGAGTGATTAAACTGTTTTAATTCATTACCTTGAACTTATTCTCTAACAAAAGTTTTTTATAATAATTTAGAATATGTTAGGGTGTTCCATAAGTTCCTTCCTTTTCCTATATTTGTTGCTTAAGGCTTATTTACTGTATTATATATGAATCGTTCTGTTCAATTACCTTCTTCCATCGCTTAGAAGGCCTCTTATACCCTTTTTCCAAAATTTTCAAGAATTACTAGCAAAATATTCATCGAGATGCATTTTTATTTTGTTTTTGGATTTGTGACATTTATCATGGTGAGAATTTTTAATGTAAGAAACAAGTAATAGTAGAGTCTCAATCAAACTAAGAGTTTCTGTCTTATGGCCAACGTAACATGCAGCATTGACCAGTAAGACAAAAACTCTAATAGTTTGATTGGGATTTTCTACCTCATTCTCTGTACTTCCTAGATCTTGTCCCATCTGATTATTACTTGTTTCTTTCATTAAAGAATTCTCACTGCGATAAATTTCATAAATCCTAAAACGAAATATAAAAGTAATTCTCAACAATTTTAGAAAAAGCGTATAAGAGGCTTCCTGCGAGATATCACTGTTGGCATGGTATCAAAATATAAATGAATACTATAAACATTTTGATAAAAAGTTTAAGAAAAAGGTGCAAGTATCGAATACATGTTCCAGATACTATAATAGTATAAACAAAACTGAAATTATAATGGTGGAGATATTGTTGACCACAGATCAAATAGTAGATGGAAATACAAACAAAAAAGCATAATCTTCAACGTGACGTTTTGGCCTAAGTTTTATGCCTTCATCAGGGCTGCTCATCTCATGCTGAACAGCACTTGTTTTGAAAATCTTCGACAAGCTAACCTGGTAAAGGCCTAAAACTTAGGCCGAAATGTTGGCACTTAAGTACCGGCTATGATCAACATTTTAACATGTAATGGTATTCAACATGGTAATTATTTAGATAAGGATCGGATGAGTTACACGTGGTTCACAATCACTTCGATCACACTTGTTCATGGAGTGCCGATTGCATCCTGGGTCATTTGAAAGACTCAGTGCATCATCAACAGGTGTGACTAAGTGATTGTGAACCACACATACCAATGCATCCCTGTTCATCCAAAAGACTATTTTCGGTGTTTCATGAACAAGTGTGACCAAGTGATTGTGAACCAATCTATAACCAGTCTTGAATCTGTATATATAACCAAGCTTTTATGAACCAATCTTGAACGTGAGCTAATCTTTATATACAAATATAAAGAAATAAAAGAGAATCGTGTAAAAAAGAAATAAATTATAATAAAATAGTAGTTGACCTTCATCATATTAATTACATATTTGTTTAAAATTTATTATTAATCTGACCAAAATCTATTATATTGTATTACAATAGCACACTTTTAGTGAATAATATGAAAAACCTTGATTAAAATTAATAAAAAGCAATGAAATAATTTAAAACTCAAGATGCTACATATTTTTTATTGGCTGAGCAGTAAAAAAATTACCATTTCGTACGCATTACCTTTGTAGCAAAATGTGTACTGTATGATGAAATTATACTACAGCCTGCACCCACTTAAAAATACATATAATTACTGATATTAATTTAACAACCACTAAAAACGACGCGTTTTTAAAATTAAAACTCACTCTTTAAAGCGAATCCGCCTTTTTTTATGAAAAAGCAATGTTGCCTTAATTACACGTTATTATAATTTATATTATTTTAAGTAACAAAAGACTCATGAAGGATTTTGTAATTTCGGTATCAGAAATAAAAATTAAAATTTTTATCATCTTTAAAAATAATATAATAATTAAATAAAAAGTATTTTTCAAAGAAAATACATCAATCATTCAACTCATTAAAACTCATTTCCTCCCAAGCATGTTATGTACTTAGTCAACATTTTATTTTATATCTTTTAAATATACAGGTATATTTTATTAAATGATACTAAAACTTTATTTACTTAATACGTTTTTTTTTAAATTAATTAATTTTCTTTCCTTAGTAACGCCATGTAATAGTGATTCTATCAATTGGTACATATATTATTAGCTATGTATAATACTTATAAAGATGATTAAATTTTAAATAATACGGATTAATTTAAATAACAATAATAAAACAAAACACTTTTTTTAGCTTTATGAGTGTGTCATGAATATCGATAATTCTAAAAAATAATTAGATATTAACTTAATAGTAAACAGTTAACTTTATTTTGCTACCTCCCTATTGTTATAGTATACATACGAAATAATAGAGTGTTTGTTAGTAGTTTTTTGTTTTGTTTTTTTAAAATGTTTAAATTGATACAAGTGTACATTATCGATTCAGTTAACTAGAAATATATAAATGGGTCATAGGGGACAAACTTGCGCATTGAGGGGGGGCATCAGGGCGCCTGCTCAGTGTGTTAGTAGTGTCCGTTTTTATCTCAGAGATTTTTAGAGCATCTACAAAGATCGGCGAAGGTATAGACAGTGAAAGATGATGATCGCGAAGAGTATCTGCCCTCAAACTTCTTCATTGATCGTTCTGCGGAGGTATAGTGCATTGCCCACCTTGAATGTTGATAACAGGATGATCAAGATGAAAAGATTCCTTAAAATGATGAACAGTGCTAAACTAAAAACTTATTCAACTAGTCAGTGTAAATTTTCTACCCTACAGACCGTTAGTACCCAGTTAAGAATATAATTTACTGTATTTTAGCTACTACTAAAAAATAATTTATACATGTCTGTTTCTGTTTAGGCACTGAAGACTCCATCTCATCATAAAACCAAGAGAAATTTTACATTTAGGTAATAATGATATTACTGTTATTAATTACTCATAATTCTTTGAACTTTAGTACATATTTATTTTATAATAAGTTGAGTACAACTATAAGCATTATTAAATATTGTTTATTACAAGACAAGACTCCAATTTTATTTTTTAATAATAAATTAAACCATTTCAGCTAATTATTTATCCTTTTAAATATAATTTTCCAAACCATTAATCAAAAAGGTATCCTGAATGTTTATCAATTGAAAATATATAATTTTTATAAATTTTAGTCGCGTTATAATTCCATGAAATATTTCTTTTATTTTTTTGTAGATTAAATGACCAGAAAACAAATTTCAGCATATGAATTGCTAAATTATAAATAGTCTATGGAGAGAATGAAATTTTATAATTATTTTTCTGTTATTTAATTGAAAATGAAAACTAATGAAATATATATTCTTTAGTTGTTTCTAAATATTCTTTACATCACCCTCCAACTATTTGAAGAAAAAAAAAGCAATCAATGTTTTGTTCATATTGGTCAAGAATTGCAATGACATTTGTCACATCTCTTGAATTGGTTCTGATTAATCAGATAATCTGTCAGATATATTTTGCTGACTCAGAGCTTTGATTATTGATTGTTCCCAAGGAATGATCTGTTTCGATAAAATATTTAGGCTTTTAAAGATTTATCGGTATTTTTAATTATTGATAAGTTCAGTTTTTATTGTATATATATTTTTTTTTGCAGAATATAAGTTTTGAGATTTTTAATCGTATGTGATAATAAACACATTAAAAAAAATAAATAAATGAACCCAAATCCTTGATATAAAAAAAAAGACTTTCATTAAAAGAAAAATGTTTCTTGTTGAAAAGTTGTTTTAATAAATAAATAAATGTTTACTAACAATAATAATAATAATAAAACAAACAAGTATCTTCTATTTGTCTAAAGGTACTCTTTGCTTAGTAATGCAATGATATTTTTGAGTCAATTATGGATGCCTAGAACTGTTGACTGAATTATTTACACATCTTAGGCATTGGTTTGAGTTAATTTATTTGACTTTGGTGTGTTCAAAATTTAATTACCACATTTAGTTCTAACATTACTCAAGGGTATTTCATACTTCTGTTACCTCATATAACAATGTACATTGTACTACACCATTTCATTTGATCAGCTGACTAGAATTTTAATTTTTTGCTATGTTGTTTATTTTATATATTTAATTTTAATATAATATTCATATTTTAATATTTTTTACAAAACGATATAATCATTCTAATTCTAATTTTGTCTTTTCTCTCTATCTACTTAATCAAATAATGGTTATTAATATTCAATTATAATATGAAAGTAGAAAAAAAATTATCGATTCTTAAATATATTGAATGGTTTAATTTATTTTCTTTTGTATTTTGCTCACAAGGAATTATACAATTATTCAGGATCCAAGTTTCCTTCATTCGTAAGTATTTTATATTTCTCGGCGTATTTAATTTTGCTTTTTATTTTTTATTTTTTTGCACTGACCATTAATTGATCATAATTAGTTTTAATTATCAGAACAAATTATTTGTAAAATATATGATTTATTTCTGTCAATAATTGATGAACATAGCTTTATTGATTTTTCAAATTTCAAGCCATTTTTTTAAGAGAATTTTTAAAAATTCCTTCATATGTTTAATGAAATGTACAGTATTTTAATACCTTTCAATTAATTAATAAACTCCATTCAACGGTAATTTAAAAATCTTATTCTATTACAAACATTGATTTTACATTCCTGTGATAAAGAGCTGAGTAGTTCCTATTACATATAATCATCTATAACTTATCGTTATAGTATAAACAAAATAAATATAGATAATTTATATTTATTTATTTATTTATATTAAATGAATATAAATTTTTTGCATTTTCATTGACCGAAATCCTCAGCCAAATTCTCTTCAGTATATCTTCTACAGTCAATAATTATCCACTATTATAAACAAAATCACTTGGATATGCAAATGATTTAATTGTCCTTGGATGCAATCAAGAGCATAGAGAGATTCAATAAAACTCTGATAAGAGAAGCAGAGCAAATTTCCTACAAGTAAACAAAGAAAAAAAATATATATCTGATAGCTCAAAAAAGGGTTACTACATCCCCAATAGTAGACAAATTCAAATACCCTAGCTCAATAGTAACCACAATGAATGACCAACAGTCGGAAATAGACAAGCAGAGCTTTCTTCTCATTTTCAGAGGTATTGAAATCTCAAAAAATCTCTATAAATCTCAAATTAACGGTGTACAATGCAATGATAAATCCAGTTCTGATATAAGGCTGTGAGACCTGGACCCTAACAAGCACAATTAAAAGCGTTAAGAGAAAAATCCTCTGCATGATAAGTGGAGCTCAGAAACTGATTAATTAATATCTCATGATACGAAGGTAAAGAGATTAAGATGGGCAGTGCTTGTAGCTCAGAGGAATCAATCAGGAAGCCTCTACACAACAATGAATGCCTCAGACCATGTGGAAGGCCAAAAACCAGATGGATAGATCGAATCAACAAAGATGCTGTTGAGCTACACGCAGATAAGTGGAAAAAAAGAAAGAGAATTTAAATAATATTTCAGTTTGATAAGTCAGATTATTAGTTGTGAATAATCTAACAAGTTCTTCATCAGTTGTATCTGGAGGGTTAATTAAGGAGGACTGAGCCCGAATGAAGGTGTTTTCCTTTAAACATACTAATCAAAGCATAATTACAATTACAATATATATGTAAAGAATGTTTAAAAGATTTTTTTTTTTCATTTGACTGAAGTGTCTATGCATTGCGCAGCTACAACACCCATGGTCCATGGTACAGACCTCTTTTTATCAAATTATTAATATCCACCTGGAACTATGTGAATAGCTTCATCTCATTGTGACCTACAAATATTTTATTTACGAAAACTCTTGGAATTGGGGCGTTTTCAATCTGGAGATTGGCAAACTTAGTCTATTTAATTAGTTACTAAAAACTCATAAATACTCATTTGCTTTCAACTTGAATCATAAGATTATTTGATCACAAAATCAAGAAAAAAATGTGGCCTACAAAAATATTGGACTGTTTCACCTATATAACCTCGTTATTTTAAAATGTTGGGGTGTAGGTCACGTCCAACGGTTCAATATTTTTGTAGACCACCTTTTTTCTCGATTTTGTTATCAAATTATCTTACGATCCAAGTAGAAAGCAAATAAGTATTAACGAGTTTTTAGTAACTAATTAAATAGACAAAGTTTGCTGATTTCCAGATTAAAAACGCCACAATTACAACAGTTTTCATAGATAAAATATTTATAGGTCATGATGAGATGAAGCTATTCACGAAGTTTTAGGCGGATGTTAATAATTCGATAAAATGTGTCTGTACCACGGACAATCACATTGTATTGGTTAGATCGGCATTATCGATGTCGGTGGTTATTTCATTTTAATAGATTCACTTTTTTCAATGATATATTTTTTATCTTATCATCAATGTTTGTTTACTATTTTATAAGTTCTTAAATAACAATGATTGCTTAATGTCCTCCTCTTCCTTAGTTCAGGTGAACTGGAAGACCACTTAAAGACAGAAGATCTGCTGTTCAATATGTTCAAGGAACCAGAATCTGAACAAGTAATGTGTGGCAGGTTTTTAGCGGTAAATACATTTTTTTTTCATGCAATTCATTATTTTATTATATTACAAACTGGAATAATTTAAGTTATATCTCTTTAACAATTTTGTGAATAAATTTGAAGTTATAAATTTCTTTTTGAAATATGAAGTTGCTATGAGTTTATTTTTTTTTTAATAATGTACGAATTCGGATTTTGTGGCTCTACAACCCTTGTAGGGACTTGATATTTTGAAAAAAGCCACTAGAATGCTCCATATCAGCTTAATTATCCAATTCCCATCCTATGAAGACTATCCTCCGTAGCATTGATCCATCGTTGTTTGGGCCTTCCTTTCTATTTTTGTCTTACAGATCACCTTGACTAAGTTTCATGGGCCGCATTGTGACTTCCAATCAAGCCCCGGCCATGTCTTGTGATGAAAAAAAAGTGTTGTGACACTTGAAACTGTGAAATGAGCTTTCTAAGAGAAAAACCCATGCAATAAATGTTTTAGTAACCTCATGTGTGAGTAATTTACTCAATTTCAAATTTTTAAATAGTTTTTAAAATTTTACTATGTAATCAAAGGAACCTTCCTGGGCCGGATCGAAGGTGCTTGTAGGCCGAATCCCGGCCGCTGGCCATAGTTTGGGGACTGCTGTGCTTTATGACAGTTTATTTGGTTATTTATCTTATAACATATTTAATAGATTATAATAATTTTTTTTTATTTCTTAATGACATTTACAACTGTATTAAATAAATACATCTAGTAAATTTGAAAATAATGGATATGACATGAAAACACTTGCTGAGTAATTTCCCAATGGTAACACTCTAATGATATGTCTACCTTAGGAAATCACAGGGTCACCTTCTTTTCAGACGCCTCGGAGGGTTATCAGGAATTGAAGAGGAAGCAAGGTTAGAAATGAGAGGGTTGGGATGATTCTGAAGTTTATTATGGAAGGATAGGTATCTGGATTGGGCCAGATCTGAAACAAAAGAAACATTAAGGTCATTATGGATGGTTTTATTTGTAACAAAGTAGGAAGCATTGAGGATTTTACAAAGGATTTTAGGTCGTAAGGATTGGATACGAGGAGAATTCGATGGTTTAGTGGAGCACCATAGCTCAACTCCGTAAGTCCAAATAGGTCTTATTATAGTCAAGTATATGAGTCTTTTGTAATTAATTAGAAGTTTAGAGCGTTTATCTAGTAAGTGCTGAAGTAATCGGAAACGTCGAGCGGTTTCTTGTCGTTTCAGTCTAGTATGAGGATTCCAAGTTAGTCGTTTGTTCAGGTGGAGTCCTAGGTATCGGATTTGCTCAACAGGGATAAGTGGAGTATTGTTAAAGGAAACTGTAGGACAGGAAGTCGTTGGTTTACAACGTTTATAATAATAAAGGTTATTTTATATTTATTAAAAAAAAAAAACTCGTGGCTCAATATTTCTTGAAGGAGATAAACTTTTATTTACCTCCTACTCGCTCATTTCTGGCATACAACTGGATTATCCTACTGGTGACCAATTGCATGGTTTTTTCTAACCAGAATGGAAGGTCGAGATTCATTTCATGACGACAATTGAATGTTTTCTTTCCATTACAGTGTTTACTGTTCTGAGGTTTACAATGTTCATGTATACAAAGTTCGGTCATGTGCCTGGTCCTCCCGTTTCTCTCTTCAACACACTGAAAGTCAAAACTCATTAAAAAAATATTCATAGGATGTTCTTGATAATCTGAACATGTTGATTGAATAGCGTGTTTGAATTATCAAAGGTTAACTTTAAAATGTTGGAAAAATTGCAGGTAAAGAAAACATATTTATTATCAGTTAAATATAAACACCTAGCAAACAAAAAAATTATTTCTAAAAATGATCATTTAATGTACATTAAGTCTCTGATTTCGTTGCTAAAGAAAGCAGCTTCAGTAGTCGATGTTGTACTAGCGATGGGATATCGAAGGCCCAATATCAATATTAATATCGCCCTATAACTATCAATACAATCAAAATATCATCAGACTTGAAATATCGATAGTCGATATTATCAATGATATTATAAACCTTTTTGAATTATGGATATCAACATTGATTCCATAGCACATAGGCGCATCAAAAAATATGTTATTAATAAATTAATATAATTAATAAACTCCTTAAATTAATTAATGGAAATATAAATGTTCTATTCCTTAATAAAATTAATTTTCCAGTTCCTGTTCATGTTCGTCACCCTCAGCATTTTTCCAGAAATTTCCATTCAACCAATCGTGCCTTCCATTCACCCATAGGTAGGATCGAGCAGAATGCTAATATATTTTCATCCTAAATAGATTTCTTTGACAATTCGTGGCCTTGATTTGAGAAGGTTCCAACCTATATGGGGACATTGAGTTTAGTAATGAGAAGGGTCCCCTACGTGTACTATTTCACTCTACTTTATAATGGCTATCGATAGTCAATATCCTGTACTACACATTACATTCTATATGAAACAGGCAAGATGAGTATAATTTTTTTCGTACGATCAAAGTCATATATAATTCCTAGCGCTTTCCGAAAACAATAGTTTTAATTTTAATTCTTATATTAAAATTTTGATGAGATAATATCGATAGTCAATATTATTGAAGTACATGTACATACTATCGATGGTAAAATATCGAATATTGGAAGGAAAATTTCGATAATATCGACTATCGATGGCCAACCCTAGTTTGTACCATTCATCCACTCCAAAAACTTTTCTATAATTAAAAATAAAATTGGGTATAAAGAAATTTTTCAATGAAATAAGAATTAATATAAAAATCATATCCCATATCTGTTTTTTTAAAATATCAAGCCAACTTTTACTGGCATTAAAATCTGCTTAGTCATCCTTTATAAAAAAATTATTAAAGGAAAACTTAATTTTCTGCTAATATATCGCCATAAATTGGACTCTCTCATGATCTCTGCTACAAAAATCACTTATAAAGAGATTCCTCAACTTCTGGATGACCGCCTAGTTTTAATTTGAGACACCACAATACAATTTTGACTCTACCACCCAAAGCAATTCCAGTAATATATTCTGGGAAACAGCCATTTCCATTCCATCTCACGTCAGTTAACTTTAACTTTCTTTTCCTTCTTGTTCGGATTATCGAGACCATCCTGTATTAAAAGTTGTTTCATACTGATTGCGCAGTCACATATACAGAATTATCTAGGTGCCGATAATTAGACCATATAGTTTATCCGTCATATCCACCTCTTTTATCCTCCAAGGTTTCACTTTTTTTTTTGTATCAATATTCAAAATTTATATCATTTTCACAAGCCTAAAATAATAAGCCTTTTATAATGGCTTTCAGGGTTTAAGATCTACAGGACTTCGGAAAACTGACCCCAGGTTAGCCAATTTAATAGAGAACTTAAACAGAGTTCACAAGGAAATGGGAGGGGAAGGATCTTGTGAGACTGCTAAATTAGATAGAGAGACATTTCGACGGTAAGTTTTCTTTCTATGATATTCAATTATTTCTTTAAATATGTTTGATATTTTGTAATGTAAATAAACTTTTTTTAGGGCGATTTCTGGCAATTTAATTCTCATAACTAGAGCATTTAGAAATCATTTCATCATTCCAGACTTTCACGACTTGTGTAAAACTATAGAAGAAATGTATTGGACCTGTAAAACCAACACATCTGGAAAGGTTATCCATCATATTTTTTTTTTTCCTTCTTTCATGTATCCCATTTTTATAATGCTGAATTTCGATAATAAGCTTCCAGATGATTGTCAAAATTTTCAGTTGTGGTTAAGTACTTGGATGCACGATCACTTGACAGGTGAATTTCGAGAAAACCATAAAGCCCAAGATTCTCCCTCCTCCTTTTTATTTATTAATATTAATTTTAATAATGTAGATATGGTTGACCATGATTATAATATGAGAAGGAGTTGGTCGAGAGATGCGGTCAAATAAATATGATATATTATAATAGTATATTATTGTTTGTGCCAACGTTTCGACCCACTTTGTAGGTCTTCATCAAGGCTACAAATGATACAAAATATAAAAGTAGATAATTTCTTATTTAATATCTACTAATAATTCATTTTTTTTTCACTATGTACCTTTTATATTTTGTAGCCTTGATGAAGACCTACAAAGTGAATCAAAACGTCTGCATAAACAATAAAATACTATTTTAATATATAGTATTTATTTAAAGGACCCCCTCCCCCCCGACCAACTCCTAATATTATTTTTAATTTAATGAAGAAAGTCGATTTTTCTAACTAGCTGTAATTAAATATCTATCATCAGCCACACCACTGTTATTATTTATTTTTTAATGAACAACTAATTAGTACATATTGTATAAATCATTTAATTCTATGAATTTTATTAGTAGTAGGAATAATGAATATTTTGCTTTACTCATTTTTTTAAAATTCCATATATAAGCTTTTTTTAAACTTATCAATGAACGATTCTATAGTTCTACAAAAAAAAAATCACCTTGTGATATCATTGGGGATGTGAAAGTACTAGCACCTGGTGTCTACTAGAGCATTATTACCAGATGGAGGATTAATTTAATTGGCAAACATGACGTTTGCCATTTATAAATAATAATTAAGAAATGTATTAATAATTAAGAAAAATTTATTGTTATTAATGGAGGTTATTTTTATTAAATATAGTATCATCAAAGTTTGTTTTTCTTCTCTTGCTATTTCTTGAGAACTGTAATTTTCAAGGTTTTACCCATTAGATCTTTCTAAAAACTGTTAAATAATCTTCATTGGAAATGAATTACATTTTTTAAATTTATATATAAAAGATCTGGATTGTATAATGGGTGGATATTTTGGGATCAGTTGTAAGACAATCTAAAATAGTTGAAAAATTTATTGTTATTAATGGAGGTTATTTTTATTAAATATAGTATCATCAAAGTTTGTTTTTCTTCTCTTGCTATTTCTTGAGAACTGTAATTTTCAAGGTTTTACCCGTTAGATCTTTCTAAAAACTGTTAAATAATCTTCATTGGAAATGAATTACATTTTTTAAATTTATATATAAAAGATCTGGATTGTATAATGGGTGGATATTTTGGGATCAGTTGTAAGACAATCTAAAATAGTTGAAAACCTCTCAGATCTATTTTTAACCCAGACACTATGTCTATATATAAACTGGTAATTTCTGAAAACATCTTTATTTATTTATTTTATTAAATCTATTAGACAAATGTTTCAAATATAAATTTATTACATTATTTATCATTTTCACACCACTGATTTTTGTCTTTTAAAGCAACTTTAGAAAATCTTTTTTTTTTTTTCTAATATATAATTTAAAAAATATTTCATTAATAGCAGTTATTATTATTTGTATATCTTATTTATTGATCAATAAATAAATTATAATAGTATTAATTTAATTTCTAATTATCAGTATCGATTAAAATTTTATACCATATAGTTATAAAAATTTTGTTAAATTTTAATTAGTGCATTAAAAAAATAAAAAAACCTTGAAAGATTAAATTAAACTACAAAATCATCGATTTTGATTTACTAGTCATAATATATTGACTGCCAATATCTATCCCATAGAAATTTTTTTCTTAAAACTATATGGAACTTGACTATAATCTTATATATATATATATATATATATTTTTTTTTTTTTTTTTTTTTTTTTTTTTTTTTAAAATAAGTGTGGAATATATATGCAACACAACCTGTTATATCCTTTATAATTATCAATAGTTTTGTTAATACATATTCTTGTATTTTATTTTATAATTTTACTTTCTTATTATTTAGTTTTATCATAATGATGGGCTGGACAAATGTTAGGAAAACTACAATATTTTCTCAGAACACCATAATAGAATAAAATTTTCTTTTAATTTTATTTCAGCCAGCTAGCTACATACCGCAACTAGCTCGAGCAAACCCAGATCATTGGGGTATCAGTGTATGTACCATTGATGGTCAAAGGTTTTCAATTGGCGATGTCAATATTCCCTTCACTCTTCAATCCTGTAGGTGAGTAATTTCTATTAAAATTGATAGTGATATTCATAACTTTGTTGTATAGGATATATCGTCGGTACCATGTTTAAGTAACGTATATGAATTTGCCCAATAAAATTTTTGATTATGATTATTTGTTACTATAACATGTACATATCTATCAAAGCTATAAAATCATAAAAATGACATTAGTGATTCCAGTCTTCCAGTTGCCGTTCAGATTCGACATCTTTTCACAAGGTGGACATGGAGTAGGTACTATGGTAAACGAACGAAATTGAAAAATATATTTTACATTTGTTATTTTAACATAATGCCGACGATAGGTAGACCTCTGTTGTTACTTTTTAATAAAATATTGTCATAGAATATTTTTTAAGAAGTAAAATAATAAATAAAATAAAAAATATTTTTTTTGCTTTTTGCAGTAAACCACTTAACTATGCAATAGCATTAGACCATTTAGGAGAGGATGTTGTTCACAGTTATGTTGGACAGGAACCATCAGGAAGAATGTTTAATGAATTAATATTAGACCATAATAGTGAGTATTTGTAAACTTATTGTATTTTGTAATATTTAAAATGCTTAATTTAAGTATTTTATGTCATTTAACAACCCAATTATAATAAGGCATTTCATTGGTATCATATATCCAACTTCATTTTAGGTGGCTATCTATATAAATAAAATAAAGTTTTTGTCTGTACATTGAGTAGAATTGTTTAGAGATCCCGGTTAGGCAGTTACTTTGATTCTCATCCCAATCTACTCTACCGCGAGCCATATTTAAAAGTTGTACAATTCAACTGATGGAAAAAATTATCACAACTCAACACTAAAAATCCGAAATACCAAACATCTATAACGTGTTGCCGCTTAAAACACACTCATTTTAAACTTTGTCTGATCTTCCCGTTCAAGGTGTCATTCTATTCAACTTCCCGGACCTAACAAATGTTGTCGTATACATTTTTAGGATTAACCTAATGGATCAGAAGAAAATCATCTAAAAATTAAAATTACCTCTCCCCCCTCATCCAATGTTATGAAATTAATCCCTCCCCCATAATACAATATCCATCTCAAAAAAAGATTCTCAAATTGTAACTATACACCCGTCAACGATGGATACATTTGCTAGTAATATAATATAATTCAAATCAACTAGGAATTCTAAAATGTAATCCATCATCCTGCATCCGTCGCTCCAATACCTTCCCCCTCTTTAAATCTCGCCTATTCAATCACCTATCCGTTCACTTGGGGCCCTATTTGCCAGTGGCATCCATTAGAGCAGGAGTCTCCAAACTTCTTGGCCCGCGGGTCACATTGAGAACTCCATTAAGTCCCGCGAGCTGTATTGAGACCTCTACCAAGTCCTCCAAGCCATAGCTTGTGATAAATAAATGACCCTTTGACCTGTGAAATGAGCTTTCTGAGAGAAACAATTCATGCAATAAATGATGTAGAAACTTTGTGTTTGAGTGATTTAATTGATCGGGTGTTTTTAAATAGTTTTAAAATTTTACCACCTACTCAAAGAAACTTCCGTGAGCCAGATTGGAGGTGCTTGCAGCCAGATCCGCCCCGCAGGCCGTAGTTTGGAGACACCTGCAATAGAGTAACATAGAATCTCGACTGTTTTGTCTTAATACTCCACGATCCCATAACAGAAAAGAAAGTTGATTTCATTGAGAAGGGATAAATCCTGATTTTGATTATTAATTTTTTACAATTTTAGCAAAAGTGATTAAAAATTCTCATGATAAATTCTCAGTTTTATGTTGAACATGTTAAAGAAAGGTTCTGTTTCAGTTAATGTTTTTTTTATTTGGTTAAAAATATCAATTAAAAAAATACAATTTCTCTTGATATTAAATTGCAAATCTCAAAAAATATGGAATCGGGAGTATTGACAAAAAAAATAACCAAAACCAAGTAACTACTAAACCAAATTTATTCCATGAACTAACATGAATTTTAAAGCTTTTAGATTATTGGAATCAATTTAAACTAATGGATCATATTTTATATTATAATTAATTTTTTTTAATTTAAAAACTGATAATATATATTTTGATATGACTGTGTAATAACTATTTGTTTTAAGAGAAGCCACATAATCCTATGATAAACGCTGGTGCCATTGTAGTATGTTCCCTTTTGAAATCTCTCATCTACCCAAATATGACTCTTGCTGAAAAATTTGACTTTACAAAGGAAGTTTTCAAGGTATTTAAATGTATATGGCATATATAAATTCATTGTTAATCATTATTTACTTAATCTAGGTTTATATTTGTATATTCTTTTTCTTAGTCACTAGCTGGAGGAGAATACATTGGTTTCAACAATGCTGTATTTCTCTCCGAGCGTGAAGCTGCTGATAGAAATTATGCTCTCGGCTTTTATATGCGGGAACATAAATGCTATCCAGAAAAGTCTGTGCTTAAAGAAACTATGGATTTCTATTTTCAGGTATTTAATTTTGAGTTCCTAAAGTAGGATGAATATACCAGTTATGGACAGATGGCCCAGTGATGGACAGGTTGGACTTTAAATGTAAATAATAAGCTTCCTTGTTGATGTAAAGGTTCCAGTTTTTTTCTAGTTTTAAGAACAATGCCCTCTATTGACAACTGTATTAACAAAGTTCCTAAAAGAAAATTTTAAAATGCCTATCATTGTTGTTTCTTTAGTGCTTTTGAGATCAGTGTGTTTCATACCTTCCTTCTATCAGTTTTGCTAAGTGTAAGTTGAACATTTATGTTATCTTATCTTTATAGTTAAATAAAGATTTTAGAATTTTTCTGAGATATATTCATTACTAGTACCGACTCCCCGTCCATTACTAGAACTAGTGCAAAAAGGTGTTGTTGTTTTTGTAAGTGGAGATTATACCTGCATAACTGAATATTTTTTTTCAATTTTAAAGTGCTAAATAGAAAAAAGAGACAAGAGATTCTAAATGTCCAACAGAAAAGTTTATAACTATAATAATTACAGTGGCATAATGCAAACCGACAAAAATTTCCTTAGCTATGTCCATCACTGGTGTGCTAACCCTAGTGTAGCATGATTAATTTTTAGTTTCACTTAGCTATTTATAAAATATATTGTAAGAGAAAACATTGCAATTGTAAAAAATTTTGAAGCCGAGTATTCAATAAAAATACATGTTTCTAGTCCCCCCTGAGACCAAATAATTAAGTTTCTCAAAATGTCTGTAAACAGCTTAGCTCAAAAACGAAAAGTCATGTGAAACTTTATTTATTTAAATATTTAAGGTATGTATATGCCTGGAATATTACAGCAACATTTCTTTAAAATTGGCTGACTGAAAGTGCCTCTTTATACAGTGTTAAGTGGTCAAACTGCAAAAATGAACTAAGGACCTCAAAACAAGAAAAAAAATTCCTCAGAATGTAATTCCGCAAAAGCTTTGTTTAGGAGATATTCAAACTTAAAGATTTTCGTTGTTATGAATTATTTATGTTATATGAAATAAATAAAACCTATTTATTTGTTTTAACTACTTTATTAATTAAATGTAAACATTAACATTCATATTAAATGTTGGTAAAAGTGATGGTATGTACGCAAACCCTTTGTTTCTTAATAATGATGATTTAGTTGTATGATTTAGTTGAACATATTCCACTACAACTGAGAAGGGACATGTGGCTTCAATTTGATGGTTGGACCAGTGGCTTGGCCTGCACTCTCTCCAGACCTGACACCACTGGATTTTTTTGTTTGGTGTGACATTAAACAAGAAGTTTAAGCAAGTCCAATCAATGATCTTAATTCCTTACGAAGAAGGATAATTGAATCTTATGAAACAATAAAACATATCCAGTGCCGTCCTGCCACTGCTGCTGTTGAAGAAAGATGCCGAGCCTGTCTTAATGCTCAAGGAAATCACCTTGAACCATATTTAATATGAATTTAATGTTTAAGTTTAATTAATAAAGTAGTTGGAACAAATAAATAAGTTCTATTTATTTCATGTAATGTAAAAAATTCATAACAACAAAAATCTTTGGGTGTGAATATCTTCTCTAAACAAAGCATTTGCTGACATACCTTCATAGGAATTTTTTTTCTTGTTTTGAGGTCCTTAATTCATATTTTTAATTTGGCCACTTAACCCAGAAGCACCCTGTATAACCAAATTTTCTTGAAAACTGCTACAATTTTCTTTAAACTTGTTATATCAATGTACAATGAAATGGTTTTTAAAATCAGATTGCCATTATTTTCCTTGTAAGTATTCTTAAGTAAGTAAGTATTCACCTTCTTGGTGCTTTTTCTAAATGGCTTCCTCTAAAGTATCTGTATTATATTGAATATTTAATAGTTGACCGTTGCATTATAAAGGAAAGAGATGGTCCGGGGTTGCGGTCATAAATAGGCTAAATAGTAGTAAAACTATTTAATTGAAAGCCATAAAATAGTTTCACCACTTTCAACAAAATGGCTTTCCACTTTCACAGGCTTTCAATAAAATAGTTTTACCACTATTTAGCCTATTTATGACCGCAACCCCGGACCATCTCCTTCCTTTATCTGTATTATAGTTTATTTTAAATAAAAAATAGTCTCTTGTGTTTATTAGTAATAAAAAATGACTAAATATAAAGTATGGAAGAACTTGATAATAATGATCCAGGTTGAAAACAAAATTCCAGAAAAAAGAAAATATACATATATATGAATAATTCCAGAAAAAAAATAATATATATATATATATATTTCCCGAATTTTATTTTTGGAATGTATATTTATATTGTTGGAAAGCTGAAGATTTTAGAAACATCTAACATATAAAGTACAGGTATAGTACAAGGTAATAGAGAGTGATAACAAAATCATGAATAATAATTTCTGAAAACTAAAAATATTTATTAATGGAAACTTTAAAAATTATTTTTAATCGAATCGTTTTTGTGAAATCATTTAAAAAATATTTTATCGTATTTTTGTGAGTAATTCCTTATTTTTTTACTTGTACCATTCAAATTTGAGTATATTTTTACATGGCTGCTATCAAAATTACTAAACATCACTGTTGAATAATTAAAAAAAAGAGATTATGTTTTTCAGTGAAAATCTGACCTGTGTCTGTCGTGTGCAGTGCTGTTCAATGGAAAGTACCTGTGACAGCGCCGCAGTGATAGCCGCCTCCCTCGCGAACGGAGGGATCTGCCCGCTCACTGAAGAGAAAGTCCTCGGTCCTGACTCCATCAGAAATGTACTTTCTCTCATGCATTCCTGTGGCATGTATGACTACTCAGGGCAATTTGCATTTAAGGTAAGTTAGGACCCATTTTTGATTTATTATTTTCAATAATGAACCATTGCAATCATACGAAAAATTAAAAAACTTAACCCCCTTCAAAATTTGATGTTTTACTTTTCAGGATATGTAGAAATCGAAAATAAAATAAAAATTTTTTTTCCGTCCGTGCATTTTCTCCAAGACTACTGGATCGATTTTTTTCAAATTTGGAATCAAAGTCAGACATCAGTCACCCAAAGGTGATCCTCTTACATCAATATTACTTTCCTTTCCAGTACATTCCTTTAAATATATCTACATGACATACTTCAACAAAAAGAAGCTGGAAAAAAAGTTATGAAGGGTGGTAAAATTAGATTTCCGTATAACTCTAAAAGTATACACTTTTTTGTTGATATCGTATAAGTTAATTTAAAAGTTTACAAATTTTCCAAAAAAAAATATTTAAAATTCGGACAATTTGAGGCAAAGATATGGTGTTCTACTGCAAAGGTTATATCCTTTTTTTGATTTTTGAATTCTGAAAGTGTTGCTGAAGCAATGCTTTATTTATTTTTTATTATTTTTTTTTTGTTACTAATGATGAAAAAAAATATATGAAGGACAATAACAGGAATCCTCTTTTATTTATGTTGCCAGGAAGGTAGTGTTACTTTAGAGGTATGATTGTTTGGAAATAATAAACCATTGTGCAGAGGTGTCCAGAAGGGGGTTTCCTGACACAAGTTGGGCCATCAAAATTTTTGATTAGGGCACATTTTGACAGAGTTTTGAATGGTTGAGGGAGGGCACAATTTGACGGGTTTACGAATTTTTTGAATGAAAAGATTTAAACCAAAAGACGATGAAACATGGAACAGACTGCAGGAACTATAATTGTATATAACCTACGAATTCTCTAATTCTACTATTGCTCGCATTATTTTTAAGAAGAGGAAACAATAAAATGTCTTGAAGAGGGAGAGGGGGAGATGTGCCTATGATCGTCATTTGATGGGCACCTCTGCCATCGTGTAATAATTTGTAGCATTTGTTGTTGTTTTTTTCAAATAGAATAGAGCAGAAAATAAATTTATTATACTTGAAGATGAATATATTGTAACATCCCTCTTATATTTTAAAAATAATAATATAACCTCAGAAGATCATTTAAAAGGTTGTTAAATAATATTAATATATTTAGAATTTTATTAATATATTTAATTATAATAATTAGAATAATATTAATATATTTAGAATATTAATATATTTATTTATCTCAGGTGTGGGTTACTGACAATCAGATCAACTCAGACAAACTATTATTATTTACACTATTTATAATAAAATTAAACATTGATTTTAAAATAAAGTCAAGTATGAATTGACAAGCTAACCTTTTTTCTACATACAATGTTTCTTCCTTTGTGGCACTGAACTCATTTGTCTTCACACATTTTCCTATGTTCTGCCAAACACATATCCCAAAATGGTAACACTATTCTTCCACTCAACTCAAGCTCTCTGGGAAATCTCTCTCTTGCGATTCACTCTTACAATTCCAAACAACTATTCTTCCTGCCAAACAAGATCTTCTAAGATGGTAAAACTATTCCTGGATTTTACTTACTGGAGCCAGGATAGGATATCTTCTCTTAACCTCTGTTCACTGCAGACACACAACTGTTTACCAAAACAAAAACCTTTGTCTCTCTCCTCTTTGGGATTTTCCTTCTTGGGAAACTACAGAGCAGCCATTTTCTTTTCTCTGCACTAGTAGAACTAGATTAGCTTGCCTTTTAATTGTTAAACATTAATTTATTAAACCCTTTTTACTCACTTCCAATGAAGGTTTACATTACAATATAGTTGACTGTTAAAATGGTATGGATGAATAGTAGTCAAGAAATCAAAAGAAAAGAGCATTGTAAGGTAAAAGTAAGTGATGTAGAGGAAAAATAGTCATCATCAATTCTTGTCTTGCTTTCAAGTCATTGTCGTGATGATAACCTACATGCTTTGCTCGAAACATTAGCTATGATAGTAAACGCCATTAATGACTGCATTTCTTTACTGCTTTTCAGCCTTTTATTTTATTAAGAAACATAAACATTAATCATGGCCAAAATACCTATTACATTGATGAATAAAAAGAACATTAGATTATTAAGAAGAATCGTTATGCTTTATATTAATTTTTGTCAATTTGTATTTTTGATAAAATATTCTTAGGGCTTATTATTTTTATAAAAATGAATCTAAATTAACTTAACCATGTCCATCTCAATGTAGAGCTCCTGAATTTTTCGATTCTATCATACAATACAAATACAATTGCAAATTTTAATTTTTATAAATTTCAAATATTTTATAGTAAAATACTACCCTCTAATGAAAACAACTCGAGCAAGAATGTATACAAAACTCTGAAAGTGACTGCTTAAATGGTTGCTCCATTATTTTAAAAAGAGGCTAATCCGATACACACACACATATATACACTGACAGACAAAAAATTCCACCCACTAGATTTTTTCATGTTTTCATCTAAAAATATTTCTGCTTTGGATTGGCCTATTGTTTTTAATGAATAAATAGGTAATCTTTTTGTTTGTTTTCAATTAGGAATGTTAATATAGAGGACAATAACCCTTAATCCTTAATTCAATGAAATGATTCTAGATTCCAATGTTTACTTTCTATGGAATCGAAATGTTTATTCAGTATCATTAGTTCAGTGCCATTTCTTGCAGCACATTTCTTAGTCTCCGGCTTTTAATTTTTTCAATATTAAGTTTAAAAATGCCTCTTAGTGCTGAGGATGTTGCGCGTGGTGTGGCACTTATTGATGATGGACGTTCCATTAGATATGCAGCTAATGCCATCGGAGTTCCATATGAAACTTTATGAGACACCTTCAGGCGTTTTCGGGAAACTGGTTCTTATAATAGAAGGCCCGGTTCTGAACGGCCAAGGGTAACAGAACCACGGGATGACCGGTTTTTGACTTTGAGAATTTTACCAAACCGGCACCTTACTGTTGTTCAAGCGATTCATCAGCTCGAAGAAGTTCGAGGTGTGCAAATTTCTGAACGTACTGCTCAGAGAAGATTAAATGAGTATGGATTAATGGCTTTTCGACCAGTAAGAGGACCAGAGTTGACCAGAACTCACAGAGTAACACAGCTGGCTTTTGCTCGGGAACACAGCCATTGGACTATGGACGAATGGAGTGCTGTACTTTTTACAGATGAGTCAAGATTCGCTCTTCGATCTCCAGACTGGCGTGAAAGGGTATGGAGAAGAAGAAACGAAAGATATGCAGCCTGTAATTTTTCCCGGAGCCAACCTTTCCAACGTGCTTCCTTAATGGTGTGGGCTGGGATTTCAATGGAGTGCCGCACAGAATTGGTTGTTGTTTGTGGAGGGTTTTTGACGGCCATTCGCTATGTAGATGAGATTTTGGAACCTCATGTGTTGTCTATCCTCAACGAAATCGGTGATCGTTCTATTCTAATGCACGATAATGCACGCCACATGTCGCCCATATAGTGCAGACGTTCCTTCAACAGAACAATATTGAGGTTTTAGCCAGGTCAGCACGTTTTCCAGATTTGAACCTCATTGAGCATTTATGGGATAACCTCGGAAGACGAATGAGAGCATGTGCAACACTTCCTGATACACAGCAGGACCTTGAAAGGGTCTTCGGGAGAAATGGGCTATCCTCCAGCAAAGGGACATTTCCCGACTGGTGGAAAGTATGCCGAGGTGTCTTCAAGAAGTAGTGAAGGCAAGAGGAGGAAACACTCGCTACTAAACGATGATGTAATTAATTTCTTTTAGAATAATAATGGTTCGTTTTTCAATTTTTTTTCTCTAATCTTTCTTATCCAATCACATTTTGATTATTAAAGGTAAAAAAGATTATAAACTTCCATAAATACTAAGTATTATCTACAAATACCATGTATTATATACAAATACAACTTTTTTTACAAGTGCCAGAAATATTTTTAGATGAAAACATGAAAAAATCAAGTGGGTGGAATTTTTTGCTTGTCAGTGTATATATATATTTGGTTTGATACAATTATTTAGGTGTTCACTTTTGTAGGTCTGGTTTGTTTTCTTATGCAGTTAAGACAGCAATCTCAAAGTCAAACTCGACAATAGGTAGTGTAATAAACATTTGTTCAAAAGCAATAACGAACTCCTGGAAGGCAAGAGAAAAGTTGAAAAATGCCATTGTTAATATATTTTTGCTGTATTGTGCCCAGGAGTCTCCGATACATAGAGCTCTTAGAGAAAGTCAACACAAATTGTTATAAAAAGAAATATGCGCTTTGTAAAACAACCCTAGACTTTTTAATACGTTTAGAAACAGGATTTACTCATATTGGTTCCAATATTATGAAGTGTTCATTGAATTGGTTGAATCCTTGTGTATGAACATTGTACTTCTGACAACTAGACCTTTAGCTGCTGCCAGACTGATACATCTCACTCCATTGTCATTGCTATTTTCAAAGTTCAAACAGGCTTACGGCAGGGAGATGGACTATCACCGATGTTGTTCAACTTAGCCCTGGAGAAGGTAATTAGAGCAACATCACAGTAAAATGGAGGGGTCCACGTCAGAATGAATCATAAAATCATTGGAAGTAATCAAGAAGACATTGAGAAACTCACTACAATACTGATAAGAGAGGCAGAGCAGATCGGCCTACAAGTAAATGAAGACAAAACAAAATATATGATAATAAGCCGAAAATTCCACCCAATAGCAGGATCTGTGTAGAAGGAAAATAATTCCCGAAAGTAGAAAAATTCAAATACATGAATTCCACAATAACCTCAATGAATGACCAACGGGCAGAAATAGACCAGTGTATAACTAGCGCAAACAGAGCTTTCTTCTCCCTCTCAAAGGTTTTGAAATCTCAAACTAAGGGTGTACAATGCTATAATAAAGCCAGTTCTAATATATGACTGTGAGACCTGGACAGTAACCAGCACCCTAGAAAAAAGTGTTGAAAGATTTGAGAGAAAAATCCTCCGCACGATAACCAGAGCAATCTGGGATCATAGTACTAACACATGAAGACCAATAAAGAACTGCTTACAGAAACTGGTCAATCAATATCCCATGATATGAAGGCATGTAGGTTAAGATGGGCAGGGTATGTAGCTTGTAGCAATCCATCTGAAAATCTCTACGTAACAATGAATGCCTCAATAGTAGGTAAAAGACCACGTGGAAGGCCAAAAAGATAGAATTAACAAAGATGCAACAGAGCTACGGGCAGAGATGGAACAGGCTTGTTAAGGTGGCAAAAGATCTACATGTTCTGTAATGCCAACCGAAAAAAAAAAAAAAAAAAAAAATGCTATAGCCTGATTTTTTAATTTCAAACCTTGTTGCAAAAACTCACTGTTTTTGTGTGTAAAAAATATATATTTCTTGTACCGGGATCTATATATTTCTATATATTTTGACCCTTATAAAGGCTGTAATACCATATATATATATATATATATATATATATATATATTGGTTTGTGCTGTAGAACATGTAGATCTTTGGCCGTGAGATGTGCTGTTCTTACCGATTTATGTTGCTTGCAGTACAACAGATAGCTGGAGAGGATAACCCAACCTCACGTTGCTACGGACCATGGGTTCCAAAGCTATACTTAGGCACAAGGAATTTTGTAACAACCTAGTTATAATTATAGCATGGTATGGGTAAGAAGTTTATTATTGCAAATTTATAAGTGTTATGTGGTAAAGGAGAGATGAACAGAAGTATTAAATCTCAACATGGAGCTTTTCTCAGAAAGATCAAGCTCAGCAAGTGATATACCTCCACTGTGAATCACATGAATTTGCTGTTATACACAGTCGAATAAAGTAATAGTATTTCTGCAGGTTGGTTTGCCCGCTAAATCTGGTGTAAGCGGCTGTCTGCTGGTAGTGATACCTAACGTAATGGGAATCTGTACTTGGTCACCACCCCTTGATCCTTTGGGAAACAGCTGTAGAGGAGTGCAGCTATGTCAGGTAAAATGTAACTATATAAACTATTTGTTTATTTTATTTTAATTTATTATAATTATTATTATTTTGCAGGAATTGGTTAGAGTATACAATTTCCACAGATATGATAATTTAAAGCATGCTCCAAAAAATAAGAAAGACCCAAGGAGGCACAAATATGAAACAAAAGGTATGAATATTGTCAATCTTCTGTTTGCTGCTGCATCTGGAGACCTGCATGCTCTAAAGAGGTAATGAATATTCAATATTAAAGCTTGAATGAATAATTGAAACGCTGATTACAACTTTTTTTACTTTTTGAATTAACTTTATAACAAGGGATCGAGCTTTGGGACTCTACTAAACCATCAAATTCCTCTCGTATCCAATCCCTACAATCCAAAATCCTTCGTAAAATCCTTAATGCTTCCTACTTTGTCACAAATAAAATCATCCATAATGACCTTAACGTACCATATGTTTCCGATCTAGCTCAATCCAGATACCTGTCCTTTCATAATAAACTTCTGAACCATCCAAACCCTATTGTTTCCAACCTTGCTTCCTCTTCTATTCCTGGTAACCCTCCGAGGCGTCTAAAAATAAGATGGCCTCGGGACCTTCTAATATAGAAATATAATTGGAGTGCTACCAATGGGTAGTTTCTCCTCATGTTGTACATGTCATATTACTTGTTCATATTTACTTGTTGTATTTATTATTAATTACAGTTGTAAATTTCGTTAATAAAAAAATAAAAACTTAATAACTGAAAACAAAATTATAAAAATTTACATATATTGGGTTGTCCTGAATGCAGGATTATGGTTTAAAAAAAAAAAAGATTCGGCATTGATGGTTTTTCCAGGACTTAAGAAGCTGAATTGTATCAAACAGTAACTATCACATTTTTTTGATGAGTTGGGGGCTTAGGAAAATGTACTGCTGCTTCTCCTTTGTCGAGCCACTGTCCAGAACGTATACTGTTATCGTAAGGTATCTAATTTTCATCACAAGTTACAGTTCTGGACAGATAAGGCCCGTTTTTGTTTTGGCAAAGAAGTGTAGCACAAACTTCATAATGCTGGTTTTTTTGGTAGTCATTTAATGCGTTGAACCCAACTTTCAAGATTTTTTACCTTTTCAATCACCTTGAGGTGGTCATCAACGGTTAATTTGCTAAGATTACGTTTTCCTGCAAGTTCTCGAACAGTTGTTGAGGAATTTTCTTCCACCAAAGCCTGCAGAACATCGTCATCAAGAGAGGAAGTCCTTCCACAACCTTCTTTGTCTTCAAAGATGAAGCCTCCCTCCCGAAATTTTTCAAACCTCCATGAGCAGTGCACTCATTAATGCTGCTCTTGCCCCAGACTTGATTGATGTTTCCTGCCGTCTAGGTCCCATTCCGGCCGAGTTCAAACTCGTAAAACAAAATTCTATGAAAATCACGCGTTGACATCTTTGTAAAGACTGAATTATTTCTAAGGAGCGAAATACAATAGAGGTAAACAAACTTTATCATTTGGAAGAGGATTAATAAGTGTTGACATTCATACAAATCAATAATTCAAACATAAACATTTTTTTATATAGAGTGGTATTTAAAAAAAAAAATCAAAATTCTGCATTATTTTTCAGACAATGAATAATTTTAAACTATTTAATATCTTTAAGCAAAAAAAAAAAAAAAAAAAAATAGTGTATATCCCAAGATACTCCCATGTTTCTCACCACTACGCTGAGTTAAAGTGGCTTTTCCCCTCCTTCCGAAGACAATATTTCCTAGGTACGTTCCTCTACCAAATCATCAACAACCATCGTTCTTCTTACACCTACAACTTTCTCCAGTTCAAATCCTCAGTCCATTCCCTGTCCACAAGATCTTGACCTTCTAACCTTTACATGCCTTCTCACAGATCTGCCTCATTCCGAAATTCCTTTATTGTTCACTCTGTCAATTTCTGGAATTCCCTCCCTATCAAAATTCGACATTCCCCATCCATATGCACATTCAAAACCCTCCTATTCCAATTCCTATCTCAAAAACAGTCAGATAGCTGCTAACCAACCATTCGAGCTGATTTTAATAGAGAATTTGTTACATTTTTATTTTGTAATTCTTTATTATTTTCTTAAAAGTGTATACTGGTCTATCAGTGGAAATAGCTTTAAGTGTCTTGTCATAGTATTAATTGTTTTGTATATAGTTTCGTTTGTTTTGTGTATAGAATTTTTACCTTATATTTTTTTTACATTATTTCTTTTTTTTGATTGATTTTATTTTGGCCAGATGTAATATTTTAATTTAGTTATTCTCAAGGGACTGTGTCCCAGAATAAAGTTATTTTTCTATTCTATTCTATATCAAGTCAAAAACTCAATGTGGTTTGGGTTCATTGTTGATTATTTATTTTATTTTATATTTTATTTTTTAAACATAAGGAGTTGTGACAGTAACTAAAGGAGGACACAGTGTTTATATCAATACAATATATTCAATTTGTCAAAATAATAATTTAAAAAGCTTCTTTTGAAAATGGTTATCCAAATCAAAACATTAAGCTAATAAAAAATTTAGAAATGATATGAAAGGCTTTATTAATCATTCCTACGCCATATTGCATTGATAAAGGCTTGTGGGCCTTCAAGTACGACAAAACTTGGATTTTATTGATAATTTACAATTTTTTAACTTCTCTAAGCTCATAAAAATACAGATAAAACAAAATAAAAAGTTAGCAATTGAAATATGGGATATAATGGTCCAAAAGTTTCTCATTCTGAACGTAGTGAGTTTGATTCCCACCTTGGCAGTAATGGGAAATGTATCTTGACATTCCCAGCAAAAAGAATCATAAGGCCCACTTGTTAGATTATTTCTCTATTATTAATTATTATAGGTGATATAAACAACATAACCTACATAACACTTCAAATTGTTATGTTGTAATATTATTATATTTTATATAAATATTCATTTTGGTTTAGACATCACCTATCTGGATCAGACATGACCCTCTCAGATTATGATGGGAGGACTGCGCTACACCTCGCAGCAGCAGAGGGCCATCTTGAATGTGTCAAGTTTCTTATTGAACAGTGTAAGGTTGATCCTTCTCCCAAAGATCGGTAAATATACACTATTATATTATAGCTATTTATTTTTAGTTATTGTACTTAATTTAATCTTTCATACAAAATATACACGGTACAGTTCAACTGGAAATTTATTGAAACAGTTGCAAGTTTTAAATTATGCATTACATTGAAGTGTTTATTGAACTGTTGAAGAGTACATGGGAGGGGCCAAAAAAAGATAGGGAAGTATTTATCAATATCTTTACCCCAATTTTCATAACATTAAAAGTAATTCCCATTGACTGTATGCACTGGTCCAATAATTTCTAATATTGTTCAATACTGTTTTTAAATTTACTTATAGAGTGCTACCAGTGAGTAGTTTCTCAACAAGTGTTTCATGTCATTTTATCTATTTATACAAATTTACTAGTTGTATTTTCGTATACAGTTATAAATATCATAATAAATAATTAAAAAAAGAAGTTTATTTATTAGGTATCTTTTAGCGCTTCCAGTGATTTTCGTTTTACCTATCACTCAGTCTTTAATGTTTTCCTTTCATGTCTTTTTTCATTTGAAGTACAGAAAGATGTCATAGGGAGTCAGAGGTCTGGTGAATAGAGGGTGAGAACTATACGTGTCGTGCCACTTTTGGTCAAAAACTTCTTAACAGCCAGTGAGAAGGCAAGGGACAAGTTTTGTGGGAATGGGGTGGCTGACTGTGTTAATCCATGTGCAAAACATGCGTTGACTGTCAACCAGATGATTGATAAACTGAAGTTTACAGATATAAAATAATTATGAGTTTGCATCCCTAGTCTAGTAGCAGCATTCACAGAGAGCTATATATATATATATATATATAATATATATATAATATATATATATATATATATATATGTATATATATATTATTTTTTTGTAATTATTATTATTTATATTTTTTTTTTTCCATTAAACCTACCCGCTAAATATTTTAATAATAATATTTTATGGATAAGGCGCTGATGACCTAGATGTTTTGCGTTTGTAACATCAAAACAACCAACAAACCAAGTATGTGTCCAAGTGCCAGAGACAAGTTTTGCTGCAACCTTTCTCATGTTCAAATCTTTTATTTTATTTTATTTAAATCCTTTAAACTGAACTCCAGGACACTCCAGACATCTCAGACAGTTGTTGAATTGTTTGGAGACTGATTTTGTTAATTTGTTGAAGGGTGCTGAATTTTTCAACATTTTTGTGGGTACTTGAAGTTAAGCGGCATCCAGAATGAGGGTCTTCAATCGTTATCTCGCCATTCCTGAAACCTGAAAATCACTCGTAAACACATGAATTGCTTAGTGCATCTAATAGGAAAAAAAATTTCACCATGCGTTGCTCCTGGTAATCAGCCATTTCACATTTTAGCCGAAACGGAAAAAGTTGTTTTACTAAAAATGTTCTCACAGACTAATGGATGCAGTTTCAGTGACCAAACTTGGCTAAAACATGGAATATCAAATTTAAATATATTATTCTACAGATTCAAGGAGCGGGGTAGCTCAGTGACTTTCAGAGCTTAAGGTTCCAGGTTCGAATCCGGCTAATGACTAGTAATTATTCATTAGTCATGGATCGACCCTGGGGTTCGGGAGACCCTCCTGGGGCACACTTAGCCTCTATAAAGTGGGTCCTCTTAATTAAATAATTAATTAAGGAAGCAAATATGGCTGTTAAAGGTGATATCGGCCCAATCACCTCCCTGCACAACCGTTGGCCTTCTAACTGTAATTCCTCATATAGTACTACACCCAAGTAGTTTTATTATTATACATATTGTGACTAATTGACAATTAATTGTATTTGAAGTTTTTAATTATAAAAAAAATGTGTAATAAACATGGAAATCTGTTCTCTAGTGATCACCATCAGACACAATACATAAAAATTATATCAAGCAGACAAACACGATGGAAGTGATATCAAAATATTTAATATTTTTTTGTTGATAAAAGATGATATTATGATTATCTTATTTAAAATTTACTTCTAATGTTAGAATTTTTGTTTCCTTCCTCAATCTTCGATTTATTTTTCATCAAGTTTATTTTGATAATAGGTGGGGAAACACTCCTTTGACGGAGGCAACCACATTCCAACATGAAGAGATTATCAAATATCTGAGCGATATATTAAGAGGTACCTCTCAGTCATCAGACTCAGATAATTCTGTTTCTTCTACATAAGATCGTTAAGCTTGACTTAAAAGATATTATTAAATTATTTCCTGCAAAAACGATGAAAAACATAACTACAAAATAATCATCAATTAGAGGAGATGAGTAGTAATTTTGAATTAGTTATAGGATTTTTAAAATGCTATCAATTGTTTTTAGATTTAATAAAAGAGACTGGTTTATACTAATTGGTATAAACGTTAACTCTTTGTGATTCATCATGCTATAACGAAATGTCCAAAATATTTTTCTATATTTAAATATATGGCATAGAGTATGGGTTATGATATTGAACAATATATATTCCATTAATTTTTCTCAAATACTTAAAAAATTGGTGTCTATATGTTATTTAAAAATAATTGTCTTGTTAAAAAAGTATAATGACAATTAATCTTGCAATAAAAAACTTAATATTTTTTAGGAATAAGAAGAATGGTTGTCTCTTTAATTTTTTACTTTTTTCTTTTCTGGAATTTATTCATTTCCAGTCAACGAGAAATGTTTAGGAGTGCCTGGTGAACATCCGGGGCATATCCTGACTGGTGACCTCTAGTGTTATTCCCGCTTACTATATGCTCCCATTTCCGCTCATTCTTTTAACATAAGTTATTTCTCTTGTCCTAGATTCTTTGCTAAAATCTTTCAAATGGTAATTATTTGAATTTATGGGGAAATACTACAATGGGAGTGAATGACAGCTGAATCATTCTTATATTAATTGACCATTTAGCATTACTGAATCTAGAAATGCTGGTTAAAAAAAAAAAAAACTTTTTAAAGAATAACTGATCTCAAATATTAACATAGATATCCTAAATAACAAACGTGAGCTTCAATAGTTAGTTTTCTTAATATTAGTTTTATTTTTTTAATTTTTAATTATTTTTTTATACCATAACTTAATTAATATGATCTTCTAGCTTATTAAACGAGGATGTTTTTCTTCAAACAGTTAAAAAAAAAAAACTTTCATAGCATATTGGAAAGATATAATGGTTATAAATATTATACAGATTATAGTAACCATATATATTTCAAGTTAACATGAGAAAAAAAATTATGATTTTCGTTTCTTTCATCTATAAAATTTCAGCCAATCAGGAAAAAGAACTGAAATTCTCCTCCTGATAATAAGAATAAAATGATTATACTAAAAATATTAATATGATCAATTGGTAATAGGAGCAATAAAAATAAATAGTATTAAATTTATACGAATAATAGTAACATTCGTAACGTTTTCATACAAAATCGCTGTTACTGATTTAACCAAATATTGGACAGATATGAAACCTTGAGCCTAAATAAATGCCTCGAAACTACTTATTCTACAATTATCATCTATTATGATAATTGAACAATGTTAAGTAAAATTATGCTAACATTTGTTACTCATCATTTTTCTGACATACCATATTTTAGAAGACAAAATTTATAACCCCCAGCCAGCTCTTTTATGCCACAATATCATACATGGACTGATAGCTGGCTCCACAAATAGATTCTTTTAAATCCTTTTCAGCTGTATTAAATGAACAGTGTTGTACGAAAAGCCAGTAACATTCGTTACAACGTTTTTCTCCAAATTTTCCTATTTTACAATTAAAGTATTTGAGGCAACTAAAAAAGGTATCTATAATTCAGAATACCATAACAGTTAAATTCTCCAAGGTTAAAAATTAATGGATACATATTATGTCATGTCTGAGCATGAAGAACTTTGCATCCTCACATTGGGGACAGTAATATTCGTTACGTTTTTTTACATTCACATTGAGATATTTCTTCTTGTGATTGAAGTAGATTTATTTTAATGTCACCATTCCATTCTTTAGAAACAATACAAAAAATTAATACCAGTACTTTTTTTTTTCAATTTGAAGACATTTGAAAAACGAATGTAAAGCCCCTGGACACCAAATGGTCAAATAATGTTAGAATGACCCTGCTACTTTATTAGATATACGCAACTTTTGATTTTATTGTGTTGCTCCTTGTTTTAATATTCATGGTCTTTCACTAAGCTACAATTTTAATTTTTTGATAGAAATTTCGATTTAATATCCATCTCTTTTGAGAACTTAGCAGCACACCATTTTTATGTTAATATGATAATAAATGTGAATTTTAAATAATTCTAATAATAGTAATGTAAAATTTTTATTAATTACAAAAAAAAAGTTCTAGGATGAATGCACCAGTTATGGACAGGGGGTCCAGTAATGGACAGGTTGGACTTGAAATGTTAAATGGAAATAATAAGCTTCCTTGTTGATTTAAAGGTTCTAGTTTTTTCTAGATTGAAGAACAATGCCCTCTCTTAACAAACTTCTCCAAAAAAAAATTTAGAATGCCTATCATTGTTGTTTCTATAGTACTTTTGAGATCAGTGTGTTACATACCTTCCTAATAACAGTTTTGCTAAGAGTAAGGTGAACATTTATCTTATCTTATAATTAATATAGTTAAATAAATAATTTTACAATTTTTCCGAGGTATGTACATCGCTGGTACCGACCCCCTGTACATTACTAGAAAAGTAGTAAGAAAAGGTGTTTTTTTTTTAATGGAGATTATATCTGCATAACTGAATGTTTTTTCGATTTTAAAGTGTTTAATAGAAAAAGGAGACCCTATAGATTCTTAATGTCCAACAGGGAAGTTTATAACTATAATAATCATAGCGGCATAAGTTAAAAAAGACAAAAATAGATTTTATGTATTATAAAATGAAGTAGAACCTTTTATTTATTTATTTTTTTTTATACAAATTTACATCATCATTTATTATATGTATATATATATATATATATATATATATATATATATA